GGTGTGGAGATTCTTCTTCTTTACATGGACACCACCAAACAAAAGTTCTTCCCACAATCAATTACGTTTGACTTCATAATTAACTTTTTTTTATATTAAGCCAAGGAAATTGTAACAATTGGATTTGAACCTAATCTTCCTCCCATTTGCTTTCCCTACTTTTATCTCTCACCTTTCTTGATCTTTTGATCTTTCGGCTACAGTACTCTCAATTGCTGCATGGCCTCATCATGAGCTGTGGAGCCATGTAGGGTGTGCCAATCTATGGCCTTTGGCATCATTTAGTATGGAATTTGACTTTTTTTTTTCTTTTTTGTGGAACATAAAAAGGCCCTTATCAACACTATGACTAATAAAATAGGACTGAAAAATAAAAAAATCTTCTCTTTGTGCATATATTTTCCATCTTCATACAGAAGGAAAGATATAACCCCTTTTTTCTTCCCATTTGGTTAGGGAGTTAAAAACAATAATATATATATATATATATATATATATATATATATATATATATATATATATATGTGTGTGTAAATTAGTTAACTCCAACAATGTCTTTGACCAAATGATCATACAATACAATATGATAACTGTAGCATATTTCACAAATAATAATAATAATAATAAAGGTGTGGGACAACATTCAGTCCTCAAATCATTATAATGAAAGCTCACCACACCAACAAGGTGCATTCCATGTGCCATTTTCTTGAGGTCATCATCCCAGGTTTCTGCTAAGCAGGATGAAGTTGATTGATACCAGCTTCTCAGGTTGTCATTGGTGAAAGATATCTTACCATAAACTTTTGGATTCTGTGCATGACATTTCCATCAATGCATACATACTCTGAAAATAAACAAAATGCAGCTTCTGACTGGAATTGTGATTGTCCATATGTTAGATGAGCAAATGTTGTTGTAGGGTTCTCTTGGACAGTATCATACAGTGGAGAAGGTGAGGTAATATGGTGGTAGGTGATGAGTGGTGTCCATGGAAAGGTCTCCTTCCCACCCACTAGAAACAAAAATTAGATATATGGGTTGAGGTTTGGACTGATTGATGTGCTATTGGAGTAAGTAGGATAAGTCATTGCTTGCCTTCTCTTAAGGTAAAGAAGCTGTACTGTCTGAATATTATCTAACACCAACAAAATTTGGACTTGAGTTCCAATAATTATTATTTAAAACTATATATATATATATAATTTGTATGGGGTTAGAAAATACATCTCCAACACTTTGTTAAAGACTTTTAGGTGATGTGATATCTAATATATAATGATATCGTAGTCATTAGTATTTATAAGATATTTGATTTTGTAAGACGATGAAATCGTTTGGGGGGGGGGGGGGGGGGGGTTAATTTGGAAAAAAAATCCCTATTTTGATTTATTTTTATTGCTCCAAATGCCTCTTTCATAGAAAAAAAGAATCTCATGTGAGTTTCAACCACATCAAGCATGAACTCCTTCTTTGACCTAACCATCATAAGACTGCTAGATAAGCTTAGGAAATATCAACCAATCTCACAATCAATCACATTCCCATGTCGGTGTTGAAAACAAACTCCAAAGCTTTCCGTTCCATCTCACTATCGATTTCACTATCATTGTCTCTCACCATTTGATACCTCATATAAGAGTTTCTTTTTCTAGTTAGACAAATGTATTCTGTCAAGTTATAATAAGTGAGATTCCTATCAATATTTTAATGATTCAAATTACACTCATTAAAATTCAAAATAATTAAATCTTTCGTCACGGTCTCTCAAAATTATAATATAAAGTTACATATTGTAAAATTAGAGATAATATGCTGTTGGAAATTAAAAAGATAGAGGAGAGCTTCACCTTGCTAAGAGGTGCTATGCTCTCTCAATCCTTCTTCTCTTTTTCTCTCCATGACTAAAGTTGTATTTGGAAATATATTTATATTTTTAATATGTATTTGAAGAAAGGTATTTGAGTGAATATCCAATTGTAGAATACTTTGAGTGCTTGATATATAATATATGAAAATTATATTTTAAATTTGTATTGAAGTAAGTGTCACTTTGGTAAAATTATATCTCAAAAGTTCACCGTATATTATGTGATAAATTTATCATTCTCATATTTTTAGTATTTACTCAAAAATAACACGCACGTAATATTATAAAAAAATTTGTATGGCTAGATATATAATAAATAAATAAATAGAAACAT